GGGACATCTGCGCCTCTAGTGACTCTAGTGAAGACCTGACACTCAAAGGTTGTGCTCCAGAGAGAGTATGGCACTGCTGAAATGGAGGGTCCACTAAACATGATAGCCTTACGTAAGAAAGCAGTGAGCTACCCAGAAGCAACTCTAAAGGTTATTGGACATTTATTGATAGTTTGGGAAAAAAGCTCAACTATTTTGTTCAAAGAACCCGCATGCCTCTTTATTTACAAGCACATTGTGTTAGTGATTAGCACTCCTGCCTTGCAGAACTAGGGTCATTGGTTCAAACTCAAGCTAGGACACTATCTGCATGGAGTTTGCATGTTCTCCCTGTGCTTGTGTGGGTTTCTTTTGCATAGTCTGTTTTCCTTCCACACTCAAAAGACATATTGGTAGGTTAATGGCTCATGTCTTAATTGTTCCTGGTATGGTTGTGCATGTATGTATGTATGTATGTAAGGTAGCTATATAAATACCGTATTAATAAATAATCTTCACTGTAAACCTTTTTATTCCTAGAAGAGTCTTAGAAATTCCCCATTAAAATTGTTTAACCTTGACACAAAATTGAGGTTACATATCGGCCACATGTGTACATTTTGTGCAACTTTTCTGTGGTCAGTGATATTTTCCAAATATAAGGGAATAAAGGTCCTTGAATTGGAACAGGCATGTGTACAGATGAATGTTCAAATGACCTATGCTCCCTAGGGACCTTGTTACATGTGGAGCTTGATGCCACTGGCCTTTTTATTTTGGACCATGGACGTTGTCTAGCTCATGCTAATAGACTTCTTTTCTTTATGGGCCTAAAACACTACAGGCAACAATTAAAACATCAATCTACTGACACACTAAATACATGGTAGATTACAGAACTGGTCTCATTTTGGAGAATTTGAAACCTTTGAAAATATAATACAGTCACAAATGAAAAATCTGCATGTCAACTAATTCACATCTGCCGACAGCCAATCTGTTGAACAGTTTCAGTTTGTGCCATTTATATTCTCTACTTGCTAGCTAAATCCCTGTAGATATTGTTATCCTCAATTTCTGAATGGTCCTGAAGATGAACACACCAAATGTGTGTGTTGCCTAGTTTCAGCCCCACCCTTCTCATCCTATACACTCTTGAGCATGAGAATAAAAGAGGTGACCAGAGCCTGCAGTACCACACAGAAGCACAGTGAGAAGACTGCTAGATCTAGCTGCACTGGATTTTAGGAAAGCCACATTAAGTAAGATGTTGAGTAGTTTTTTTTTTTATTTAGCACTGGCATATTGTGTCCTGGATTAAAAATAAAATTTGATTGACTTCTTGCCAGATATTGCTTTTTAAGCAATGTAATATTCTACCTGAAATTGGATTTTTGAGGACTTTTAGCTTCACTTTCCCCGAAGAAGCCTAAAATAAATAAAATAAAGTGAATTATGAAAACAAGATCAATGAAGCAAGACAGAGTATGAATGACAGCTGTCACAAACGCAGTGGCTTTCATTTTTCAACATTATTTTTCATATGAACTGACTGTTGTGCCAACAGTGGCGATTCGATGCAAATGCACACAGAAAAAAATGACAACTGGAATCTGAGATGTTTTAATCATATTGGTTGCTATAGGAGAATAAAAGGGATCTCTGACACAAGACCCGTTGATAAACAAGGGCCAGTGTGCCTTGTGGAACTTTTCTTATTAATCTACAGACTTACAGTAGATGCTTTCCCATCATCATAAACTTCCTTTTTCAGATATATGTACTGCTTGTCATATATTGCAACAAGTCTATACCTTGTCAATGGTTTCCTTTTTGTAGTTCTGAGTCTGATTTCCAATTTGCCCAGATTTCCAACGGTATCCATTGGATCGTCTGCAAAATAGATAGGTAAATACGTAAAATGTAATTTTATATCAAGGACACCACAGCAAAAAAATAGGGGTTCTAGGGTGGCTGCTAACTTAATACTTCATGTAATAGTTAGAACTTCATAAGCACCAGAAGCACCTTAGAGAATGTCTGCTCCAAAAAACTGAGAGGGGCAAACCCATCTGGTTTGAGCATTTGGTATTGATTTCACCAGGAAGCTCCCACTGAGGCTGCTTCTGACAAATTATTTTGGGAGGAGGTCCCAAGGCAGACCAAATAATGCTGGAAGCATTATACCTTCCTGCTGGGCTGAAAACATCTTGGTACAGTTGTAAGAAGACTGAATTTGTGGCCAGACAATTTGAAGTTTTGACTAGAACTGTCCAGCAAACTGCCACCATTGACTTGGTGGGGTTAAAAGCTATGAAATGATGATGACAATGAAGGGCTCTAAGAACTGGGCAACATACTTCCTATTATTTCATAATTTCAACAACTAGAAACATTTACAGTGCAATAGTCAACCTAATATAACTGCTCTAATGCTGCTAAATATTCAATGTCTCTGTTCATAAATCTGTTTCTTCCTCCTCTGTCTGCTTCGGTTACAATCAGTCTAGTGTGTATACTAATTACTATTTCTTACACATATCTCATTATTATTCAATCTAAACCACCAATCCCCTCTCTAAGATCCACATACTGTTAGAGAAAAAGAAAGCAAAACACTTTACTAGGTCTGTGCATAGCCGCTGCATAGATTCCTCAGAAGACCACCACCCCTGTGCTAAAACCCTTCTTTTTCCTTTTGACTAATCTCCATTGCCATTATTACACACCACATAAGAGCAAGAACAATTATGCTGTGTCTTGCTTTTAAAAAGGTAATCAAATCAATAGACCATTATGTGCATATAATATTTGCATTACTTTGCAGAATCAATATATCCCTAGAAATGCATGTGTTTGTAATTATATGAGAAATTGTGGAGACAAGCAGCACCAGGAGCAGTTGTTTTGATGCCAAAGCATATTACAAGTCACTATAAGTCAGCAAAAGCCACTAAAACAAAGTGACGGGGATTGCATCTAATCTGTATGTTCATTCATTTCTCATACCAAATATTCTTACTGGAAAGCAAACTAAAGTTGGTGTAGCAACAAATTCAGACATGCAAGTTTTTACTTTGCAAGTCTCTTCTGCCATATTAACCCCTATCTGACTGTCAACATTTTTTTTTCTATGTGTTTCTCTAGGCTGTGCATGTGCAGCCTAGTGTACCGTCTCAGCGCAATTCTGTCCCGGGTCACAGTCACAGTAAAGTAAGTATGTCAAAGCGTGCAAATATGCATACAGTACTTACACAATATGGCAAAGAGCTCCTTGGGGCCTAAAATGTTTTTTGTGGTTCAGTGGATTAATCCCGTTTTATTGCAACCGCCTTAATTTCTTCAGTTCAAAAAAGTTTCCTTTCTGAACGTTGAAAGTTATACTTTAAAGGAGAACTATGGGGGTGAGTGAATTACACGCATCCTCATAGTTAGAGCCGACATGTGACATTGAAGCTGTCACAGACCGGCTCTATTGATTGGGAAGGGAGGGAAAACATACCACCAATCGCTGACTTCCCGATCCTCTCCCTGCAGAGGGACTGTCAGTCACCGCTCCCCACAGAGATTTCCCCTTCCTCTCTCCGATCGCCCATTGCTGACTGGAGGGATAGATGGGGGAGGAGGCGGGCACAGCTGGCTCTGCCTCTAGATGTCAATCACCCAGGTGGGTGGAATTTGACAGTATTGTCCCGACTGCGGCGCTCCCAGCATATAGCAGGCAACAGAGTTTGCGTCACGGGAGGACACAGTATATGTCCTCCCGTGACCCTGAGGAGAACAATGGAAAAAACAATGCCCCATAGTTCTTTTTTAAAGTGTATTTGTCTATGGGCTGCCATAGACGTGAAGAGGTCACAGGTCATTAGACCGCAGGAGCCCAGGGGAAAAGAGGTTGCAGGTACCGGTCTAGCAGCCAGGCGAGACCAAGGATCAGATGAGTATATCTTTTTATTTTAGCTCCTAGACCAAAACAGGCACTTAAACCTTCGGGGGGACTGCAAAAGTAGAACTACACTTTGAGCTATACATTCTTTTGCTTATGCTGGGTTAGTGAAATGGAATGTGCTCAAGTCAACATGTCAGCATAACAGTCAGGCAACTCGCATTTCATAAGGAGATGAGCAATGGCAGTCCTTCTATTTCCTCTATGATTTACTATAAATATGAATGCACAAGCAAAAAAAAGGTTGTATATTTATTTGAGTAGGCATCTACGTTTAAATGTTCTTACATATACTATCATGGCAATAGTAAAACAACTGTTACATTGTGCTTGAACACTCTGTAAGTGTACATATATATATATATATATATATATACACACACACATATATATAGTAAGAGATCTTACAGCGTTAGCTCTTTTAGACTGGCATTGGTGACTTTTATAAGATCTGGAAGGGTCAACCACCCTCCAAGACTTTGTTGTGAGTCTGGTCATTTATAGTCACATTCCTGCATACACAATTCTACTGATAGCTATGTAATGAAAAATACTTTCTAGATCTATCGGTCAGAAGTAATCGAGAGAAGCCCTGCTGCAAATAATTTTCCTTTCCTCTGCTGTATCCTAAATCCTCTGGAATAATCATTGCAGAAATGACAAGAAGCAGTATTAGATATTCAACAGAATTTGCAAGTACAAAAAACTGGCTGAAAATCTTTTTCATAGCACTGTGAGTCAGTGAAACCTGAACCGTGAGATGATTACCACAGCAACTGCCTCCTGGAGCAATCCTTCTGCTGGAAGAAAAGGATTGTTTCTATTTACACTGAACAGAGAACAATGTGTCTGTGCAACAAAGTACAACAGCAACTGGTTATTTCCAACATGTATTTGTGTGTACATAGAAATGGGAAAGCTGTAGATTATTATTCACATACTCCCGCTCCTCTTTCTCTCTGCTCATGCTCTGGCGCAACTGGATAAGCTTCTGCTCCATTTCCTGATTCTGCATCTCAAGCTGTATTGTTTCCGTCCGAAGTTCTCTGATATTCCTATACAAACAACATTGAATAAATGTTACACTGCCAATTAATATAATTTTTACTGCCTTTTTCCAGTGGAAACAACCATTTTAAATGCATGGAAACCAATGAAGACACTAGCTGGACCTTTAAGATAGAAACTTAGGAGCCGCCACTGCTGTCCTGCTGTTAAAGAAGCCTCACCTTGTATTATTTTCCACAGCTCAGTCACCTAACCCCCACAGTATATGTTGTTTTATCCCATGCTTTTGTGTGCAACAGAAGCTGAGATCCAGATGATGAAAGCAAGCCTTCCCCCCACTCCCCATTCCTGACCTCCATCTGCAAAGAAGACAGGCCTCTCAATTGACAGCTCTTATTTCACTGCCTCTGCACAGACACAAAACAAGGCTCCCCTTCCAGGTCTAGAGACCCGTCTGGCTCCCCCTCTGGTTCAAAAGGGCCATCTCCTTTGCAAATCATGGTCGGGAATAGGGTGGGGGTAAGGGGGAATCGGTAGGCATGATGTCATCATCTAAATCCCAGTTTCTACTGCTCACAGAAGCATAGGATAAAATCAACAGAATGGCTGTCTACGCTGGACAAAGGCAGCAAGAATTTTGTTGTGAGTTCTAGGTTAGTGACTCACTAAGTAGTGAGCCAAAAATCAGCAATGGGGGGTTCCCATATTTCTGCCTTCACAGTTTCTTTCACAGGGTAGTTGATAAATCCTAGTGGGCTAAAGGACATTTGTTAATGTGATTAACATGTGCCAGTGGGGCTTAATTGTCTGAGCAAACTGAAAGATGAAGCCCATAACCTTTACAGTTTGGTTGGTTCCTTTAGTTTGAGCAGCTCCAAAATGTCATGGCCAGCAACACAGTGGCATTGATCTGATAAATAAATTCTCCATTTAAATTAATTATTTATGCAATACTCGCCTCCCACAGCAGCCATATATACAGTTCTTACCACCCCCTAACACTCATACATACAACTCTTCGCCCGTCATTGACTACATACAGAATTCTCACCTGTCCCACCACAACACCCATAATTTCAGCTCCACGTCTTCCTACAGTAGACACACTGTATATACAGCTCTCTTCCCCCAAACCAGATCTGTATACAGTTTTATTAAACCACCACAATAGCCATATATACAGTTATCTACCTGCCCAATAGCTATATACAGTATATAATCATACATAAGGCATCTACCCTAATATGTATAGAGGTTGCAACAATCATTAAGTTGTAAGCAGTGGTATGTAATTGAGGTTCTGTACCCTATCTAACCCTAGGGGCAATGTAGAAACTAGACCTATGGAGATTTCCACACCCACAAAGCCAAGTCTCACTCTGAAGTGCTTTTAGACCCATTGGCTGTTTAACATGGGCTCCTTGGCCTCTGAAAATAGAGACTCTTGGACTGTACCTATGTCTTGCCATAGAAAGCTCTTGACAGGTCACCAGCTCTTTGAATTCTAAAAACTATTTGTTGATCACACAAAACTGTGTGGATAATACAGCTAAAGTTAATAAGTGGTATTAAAGTCTCCATTTTTTTTACATATATCTACTGCTAGCAAGCAGTAGATATATGCCCCAACATTTAAAAAAAAAAGTGTCCAAACATGTAATATTTACCTGTGTCTGCGCCTCTCGCTCAGGCTGCACAACACAGCTTTCCAAACAGCCGTGAGGAGGATGATGAGTTCAGGCACACTTGATTTCACCAGAGGGGAGAGGAGGAGTGACACAGTGTAAGTGAATAAATGCACGCCAGGAGCGCGCACGCAGGAGAGGCGCGGGGTGACACAGAAAGAAATAGGAGTCAGCGCTAGATCAGAGAACAGAACCAGCGCTGAGGGAAGAAGATGTTCGCAACAAGAGTAATCACATAAGGTAAGTACTTACCGCAGCATTAGGGGGGCAAAAGAAAATTGCCTTTTATGTCACTTTAAAACACATTTATAATAAAAAAATATTAGCAACAATCACACTGATGGAGATTACAAATGAATTTTAAACACATTTTAGTTTACTTTATGAAAAGAAGGCATACCATGACTTCTTAAAATGTATAATGTTAGCTCACACAGTGTTCCTCCTACTGTTAAAATCCGAAAAAGCAGTTAGTAGTATATCATTTGAAGCATTGCACTTACTTTGTTTTTAATCTGACAGAGTTCCCACTCTTTGCAGGAGGAAGTATAACAAAATCGCTGCTCATGATATCAGCAGAAGGCACTTCTTTCACAGTCTAAAAAAGAGCCTGACAAAAGACATACAAAAATAATGATTGTAGCACTGTGGGTTACTCATGAAAAACGGTATTCCAATATATTTTCCGATGCATGATTTGTAGTTAGAGATAAGACAAGCAAATGAAACCTCTCTCTACTGTCATTCCTGCTGTGCAGAACATTGATATAGCAAAAGGCAAAGTCAAGCCATTGTTTTAAACATCAGAGCTTCTTTCTGCATTTTTTTACTTGGCTGCTCCTTACTTGGGATAATGGGGGAATACATTAGTTCAGCTTAGGCACTGATCATATGTAATCATCCCCTCCTCCAACCCACCAATCAGCAAAGAACAGATAGATCGCAAAACCTGGGGTACAGGGATCATGCAGTTACTGCAAGTATGTTTCTATTGCACTGTGAATAAAGAGACTACAGCTGGCCATACAGTAATACATTTCTTTTGTTTAGCCTTCCGGCTGAACAACAGAAATCTAACAGATTCCTCGAATCATGCTAAACAATGTAAATGGCAGAAACTCCCCCACCAAGCCATTGTATTCGGACAGCTGGCGCCTACCCACAGTGACTGCAACTGTACAGCCAACCATTGATAGTTTTGTCCAAAATGCTAACAGTGTACAGCCAGCTTAACTGTACAATCTACAGAATTAGATCAGAGATGCTGAATCATTTTTTAAAACTAGAGTCCAAGTGTTACTGTGCCATTTTGGCAGGACTGGTTTATCATTTTGGCATTATTTTGGAAATGTGTTTCCCAATAAATAGCGATTATCTGGAGGCTCCAGAGTGACTACATGCTGTATGTTGATCCAGTGACAAAAATGGATTTGATCAGAGGTGTGTTACTATTTAAGAACTAAGATTAGATTATAACCAAAAAATGAAAGCCTGTCCGAAAGGCGAAAGGGAACAGCGACTTAAGACCTTTTCAAATACGATCGAATAGCAAGGTGAACGGCCACCTGGAGAAATTTTCACAAGTGGAGGTGGAGGGTTTTCCTAAAGGGTTATTAAACCCTCACGTTTTTTTGCATACATCTACTGATAGCAAGCAGCCTATCTACAGGCAGAGCCAGCTGTACCCACTCCCTCCCTCGTCCGTTCCGGCAGTCAGTGCTGGAGGATCAGAGAGCGGAGGGGCTAATCCCTGCGGGGAGCCATGAGTGACAGTGACGGCTCTCTGCAGGGACATGACTTCCCGATCTATTGAGCCGACGTGCGAGTTTCTTTGTCACGCGTTGGCTCGAACTATGAGGTTGAGTGAAAATCACTCACCTTATAGTTCTCCTTAAGTCCCTACACTAACATTGGGGGGGAGGGGGAAAAAATCCTTTAATGTCACTTTAAGTGGCGTGTGCTGGATCGGTTTTGGAGTGACAGAAACTCCCTTTTTTGATCTCGCAGAAGTGTTTGGGCAACAGGTTGTGTAAAGCTCCTGTTTTGATTTCACCATCATCAACCCAGATGTGTATGAGAGAGTGACTGGACATTGTGCATTCATACAGATTATTTTGTTCACTTGGTTCCATTTAAGAAAGATTGTTTTCACCACAGTGTGTGGCTTAGAATTAATTCATGTGCATTCATTTACGTTTTTTTATCACTTTGTAGAGTTCCGCACGGCACTGTTATTTATAATATTATTATTTTGTTGTGTGCACTTGATTATTGCTTGCAGCAAGGTGTGTATATTGGCGTGAGACTAATTCATAATTAAAAAACATTACACTAACAACCTGTTTTCATGGTGTTACCACCACTTTCCTGTTCTAAAAGTTAAGCTCTATCCATGAAGTGTATTTCCACTTTACAGCCAAATAGGAATAACACCTATGTTCTTATTCACATAGCATATCATATCGGTATAAAAAAAAAACTAAATAGCTGCCTACGTGTTATTTATTGAGCTTGCAGTGTTGTGCCCTTCAGTAAACTTGGAGAAAAGAATTCCTACGTTGGGTACAGAAAATCTCAATGCATGTGTTTTTCCTAATGTCCATTTCCCTGATGACAGTATATGCCCACAGGTTTCTAACTACACTGTGCCCCTCAAAAAACAATGGAAAATATCTCTATAATTGTTCTGGGTGAATGACTCAGAAAGTTCTAAAGGCATACCTCCCAAAGAGTATAAAGTATGCAGACAACGGACACACCCCTGAAATGCACCAAGGCATGTGGGCCATGCAGCACTGATACACAAAAAGTTATATTTTGTCAACACTACTTTTTAAATGAACAAATACAATAATTTAGTGGTCAGATGTACGGTTTACTGCAGTATCTGGGCTCATTCCCACAGCCGTTTATGGCTGTACACCACCTAGATGAGTGTATTGCTGCAGCGCATATGGCCAAGTGTTTCGATTAACTGCCGGTACAAATCAATGGACATGTATTTGCACTAGGCATGTTTAGATATCAAGTACTGTACTCGGTAGAAGTACAAGTACAAGTACAGATACTTTTTGAGCTCCAAGACTAGACTAGAGAAAAATTCAAAAGTTAGGAGGCAGCTGTCATTTGTAAGGAGCACACGGAGCTCCTGGGATTTGTACATCTTTGTTTTAATGCATGATTGTTTTTATAAATAAATATAAGAGATGCACTGAATTTACTGAAAGTACTAATACTTGTCCAAGTACTCACAGATACAAGTACTGATACGTTTTTTTTTATTGTCATGTGACAGTTTTTCTAAAACAATACAGACTAATGATTTTAGAACAGTGGTGGAGCGCCAGAGCCAGGTAGTTCTTGTGAAAATACCAAGTATCGGCACTGGTATCTGAAATGGTATCTGAACTGGTATCTGAACATACCCAATTTGCACTGAAGCAATTACTTACAGTTAGGGACAGATGTGAGGCCCTGGACACAAGCAGTGTGCCTACAGGTCCGCTCATCAGTCCCTAGTCGCATGTAATCGCTCCTTGAGAGCAATACATGTGAACAGCTGTGGACAGGGCCGGCCTTAGGGGTGTGCGAGCAGTGCGGCCGCACAGGGCGCCATGGCAACAAGGGCGCCGTGCGGCCGACACAGCTCGTCCTGGGGGCGGCTTCTCTCCCCCTTACCGCTGGGCGCTGGCCATCCGATATGACAGCGCTCCCTC